GAAGAGAGAAGATGATATTGGATAGTCGACTAGTCTTTAACATCCCTAAATGAGACAAAGCTTCTTAATATGAAGACAACAGTTCAGTCCTGAGTAGTCAGGAACAACTGTTTTTTTCGTATGCGCATAGATGGATACAAATTCAAAATATCATTGCCCAGTCAAAGTTTTGGCTTACCAATCATTTTATTTTGAAAACTTACTGTTAATGAACTACTGATAGAAAGCTAAACCAACAAGTATCAGGCCCCTCTCCAAAGGCAAGTTCAAAAAATTGAGTGTGTCTTTCAAAAGTTGACTTGCCAGAGTAAGCAATTTTCTCCACAAAGAGCAAAATCTGGTCCCCTTTTAACAAATTATTAGATTTTTATATATTATAAAGCATTACTATTCTGTCTCCATATTCTGTTATGAATTTGGGCATTAAGCCACTTAAGAAGTTTCAGTTTTTGGGATGCAACCAGACAATCATACATTTTATTGGCATATACTCTGCATATGTTTCTGCATGACCCATTTCTTCTTCATCTTCCTCCTCGGGTTCCTCCTCTTCTTTTATTTCTGGAACTTTCTACAACAAAAATATACCTGCATTAGTCAAATGATACATTGCTGATGCTCAACAGCCCAGAAGCGTACAGGCATGTGGAGCAGAAGCTAAAGTACAGACACCCATTTTAGTTCTGTTTCCATAACAATGTACTACCTGAACCAGAGAATAATAAAAGCGTCATTTACAAGGTTTTAGAAGGGCTCAGCAGCCATACTCTTTTCGAAGGGATGCACTTTGAGGACCGTGGCATTCCAATGGAAAGAATTAAAACCATACTAGTATAGGGCATGTGAGCCAAAAAAGAAAACCTGCAAAGCAGCGTGGAGCACTGCAACTAAGCAAGTAGACCAACACTTTTATAAAGCTTTTACTCCACAATATGCAATTTTAAAGTTTATTTAACATTCCAGTTAGCATTAGTTTTATTTTAATTTCAATTAGCTTCCCATTGGTTCACTACATTTGGATGTTTGCCTTGTCATGAATTCAAAACCTTAGGGTGTAAGTGTGCAGTACATAACCATGGACACAACTCTTATTCAGATAAAGGGGTGCTAGAAAGAGTATGATTCCATTTTACTGCAGTCAGCATGCCATGCATCAAATGTTCATCTGTGAACCTACATTTAAGAGTGTACCTAAGCATGTATACCTGTGAAATAATTTGGAAAGGAGAGGGCCTTTACGTAAATATTTCTATGAAATCTGCTGCAGATTTTCATTGGTTGAAGATTCAAGTGACTTAAGTATTGGAAAGTATGCATATGTAATTCACCACAACTGTGGTATCCAATATAACTCAAAGAGATGACAAAACCTATTGTTTTCCTGTGGTCCAGGCTACTATACAACACATGCCTGCAGTATTTTTTTAAATTAGAAAAATGTTCTCCATGCCTTAAAGATAAAACCCTTCAGCATCATATAGCTCTTTTTAATATCAAAGATCTAGACAGCTTCTAGGTGCCATACCCAAGATCACGCATCAAACTCATTTAATCTAGTTCTCATTGAAATAGATTTAAGTGCCCAATTCAATAGTTATTAGTGCTAGTTAGTCACTAAACACCCAGCATATCAATGAGCAAAGAAACCGTTTACGTTGTCATACAACTGATGGCTGGTCCAATTTGCTGAAGAAATATTAGCAGCCTCAAACTATGGAGTGGTGTATCGGGTTGCATGACAGGGAAATTGAGGGGGGACATTTTCTACAGCCAAGTGAAAAAACTGCACATGAGCTGTGGTCAGGTAGGACACCCTTCAGCACACACAATGGGTTCTTGTGAAAGGTACCAGACCTTAAAATGACTCCCACCCAAATTCATAGGAAAACTGCTCTGAAGATAAAGCAGTGTGATGCTTGGATCAACCACTCTTGCAGCCAGAGAAAACTCTCCTTCAGAATCTACTGTGCTGTGAGATTATGCAAACCTAGGAAGATTCCATGAGCAAATGTAGGACTCATTTAAGAAACTACTATAGCCATTCATTCTTAATACTCACCATGGTAGGTGAATAACTTCCCATTTTTACATCATTTATCCATATTCTTGCTACTTTCGTAGAAGCTGCCTTCTTTACAGCACCATTGCTTAGATCAGCTACAAGAAATGTTACATTTTACAGAAATTAGTAATTCCTTACATTTTCTGTTGTATTGATTTATACATCAGTCATGGTAGCTAGAAATTAATATATGAAATCTTTGATGGTACACCAACATCCTCAAGAACAGCCAAATATTTATATACAAATCTGCCACTGTCACAACTCAATTCCCCAACCCGGCACTTCAAGTGTAGATATGGGGGTTGGCTAGCAGAATAATCTCTGTAAGAACCTGTCTAACTCCCAGAGACAAACTTGTCCGGTCTCAAGTTTCCCGAGACCCAAAAAGAAAGACGACTGGTTGCTGCCACCACCAAGTTGTAACTAAAAATATAAAATAAACCCTTTTCCAGGGAAGACATCACTTGGAAACCCCTCCCTGAGGTAACGCTCTCCCCCCTGCCCCAACCTCCGTTTTCCTTGGAGTTGGGAAAACAGAGATAATACGCACAGAACAATAGAGCTCTGCTTCTCCCAGGTAATTTAGGCAAGTAGGTTTAAAGGGGAGACACACACACACACACACACACACACACGTTAAGCATAAGAAAAATAAAAACGCTTTTATTATTAAAACAAGACTACTTTTGCAAGCATAATAAAATGACTGGGTGTTAAAAGCCATGGATTGATATAGACTTGGAGAATTCCTGGGCTGTAATCCTTAGTTACAAAAAACTGGCTCAGACAAGATTTCCAAACCCCCAAACAAGGAAAATAAAACCTGACAGCCTATCTAAATTGTTCCCTGCCTAAACATTTCAATGAATTCAAGGAGTCTAGACCGCTTGGAAATAGTGACCATAATATAATCAAATGTAACATCCCTGTGTTGGGGAAAAACACCTCAGCAGCCCAACACTGTGGCACTTAATTTCAGAAAGAGGAACTACGCAAAAATGAGGAAGTTAGTTAAACAAATTAAAAGGTACAGTGACAAAAGTAAAATCTCTGCAAGCTGCATGAACACTTTTCAGACACCATAATAGAGGCCCAACTTAAATGTATACCCCAAATTAAAAAACACAGTAAGAGAACCGAAAAAGTGCCACCACGGCTTAATGATCAGGTAAAAGAACCAGAGAGAGAGAGACACAGAGAGAGAAAAAGACATCTTTTAAAAAGTGGAAATCAAATCCTAGTGAGGATAAACTTTGCTAAATTAAGTGTAAAAATATAGTAAGCAAATCCAAAAAGGAGTTTGAAGAACAGCTACCCAAAACTAATAGTAAAATGTTTAAGTACATCAGAAGCAGGAAGCTGGCTAAACAACTAGTGGGGCCCTTGGACTATCAAAATGCTGAAAAAGCACTCAAAGATGATAAAGTCATAGCAGAGAAGCTAAATGAATTCTTAGCTTCAGTCTTCACAGCTGAGGAGACTCCCAAACCTGAGCCATTCTTTTTAAGTGACAAATCTGAGGAACTGTCCCAGATTGAAGTGTCATTAGAGGAGGTTTTGGAACAAATAGAAAAACTTAACAGTAACAAGTCACCAGGACCAGATGGTATTCACCCAAGAGTTCTGAAAGAAATCAAATGGGAAATTGCGGAACTATGGTTTGTAACCTAGCCTTTAAATCAGCCTTGGTACCTAATGACTGGAAGATAGCTAACATGACATGAATATTTAAAAAGGGCTCTAGAGGCGATCCTGGCAATTACAGACCAGTAAGTTTAACATCAGTACCGGGCAAATTAGTTGAAACTATAGTAAAGAATAAAATTGTCAGACACATGGATGTATATATTTTGTTGGGGGAAGTCAACACGGTTTCAGTAAAGGGAAATCATGCCTTACTAATCTACTAGAGTTCTTGAAGGGGGTCAAACAAACATGTGCACAAGGGGGATCCAGTGGATATAGTATACAGGCAGTCCCCGGGTTACGTACAAGATAGGGACTGTACGTTTGTTCTTAAGTTGAATCTGTATGTAAGTCGGAACTGGCGTCCAGATTCAGCCGCTGCTGAAACTGATCAGTTTCAACAGCG